TCTCTCTCTCTCTCTCTCTCTCTCTCTCTCTCTCTCTCTCTCTCTCTAGTTCCACCTACAATTACAGGTAATAAGGAAGAGACAGAGAAGCTGATAGCTTTGGTCGACACTTCAATAAATATTGAATGCAGAGCTACAGGGACGCCTCCTCCTCAGATAAATTGGTTGAAGAATGGGCTTCCTCTGCCTCTCTCAACCCATACTCGGTTGCTGTCAGCGGGACAGGTCATCAGGTCAGATTTTCATATGTGACTTTCCTATACAGTATTTAAAGAAATGCTGTTTCCCACTTTTTCCTGTTCTGTTTTCTTTCTTTCATTAGAATATTAAGGGAGGATAGATAAACATATAAAATTGAAAGTTTTTGCTTATTTAAATTCTCATATTTTAGTAAAGTTGTATAATGGGCCTTTCATAGATGACTTAATATTATGTATAACTTTCTACACACTATTATTTTAGCTAAAATATTTTATGACAGAATGGTAGGAAGATACCTACCATGATCATGTGATTTTTGTGTTAGCATTATTTGCTATTAATACATATTTGACAATTATTTCTTCCTCCCCCCCATATTTTTTGGTACCACATTGTTACTACTTAATGACACTTGGGGAACTTGTTATATTTGAGGCATTTTTATTTTGTAATAGAAGGTTATAAGCTTTATAACTAAAATTTCTCAACCTAAATCTCCTTCGATAGCCTATTTGTAAATAGTAATCATTTTATTTCCGTACGCTTGGATGGGCTCCCATTATCACACGCTGGGTCACCTTGTTCCTCAGGATTGTGAGAGCGCAGCTCTCTGACGTTGCTGTGTATACTTGTGTGGCCTCCAACAGAGCCGGGGTGGACAACAAACATTACAGCCTGCAAGTACTCGGTATGTCACAGAAGCGACTCTCCTGCTTTGCTGCATGTCCAGTATTAAATAACAGATATCTTTAGCAATTCACTTCCTCCCTGAGTTAGTAATCTAACGTTCTTCAGCCAGAAACAATTGTTGAAATAGAATTTTGCTAACTGAGGAAAGAATGTGTTTTCTTCCAGGGGATCCATATTTATTGCACCATAGTGTCTAGCAAAATAATATAATCTGACATTTTGTACTAAATCCAATGTAAAAATTTTAAAAGAGCATTTCAATCCAGACACAAGATAATTTCTCATACAAAGGAAAATCGAAACTATTTCCTAATAATATTAGCAGTACATTTAAAATATGAATGGATATTATGCATATATGTACCTCTATAAATGTGTACATTTAAAGAACTCAACAAATTTTATTTGTGAAATACTAAGGTTTGCTTGTCCACATTTCTTAATATCCATGAACATCTTAGGAAATTTGGATTATATAAAATTTTCTCTAGAACTCTATATTGTTTTACTTATTTTGCATATTGAAACTACTCCATCCCTGGCATGCCATGCCAGCTCCACCCCTGGGATGTGCTGAGACAGTGATTGAGCCTGGGCATGGTGGTGCACACCTGTAATTCCAGCACTTGGGAGGCTGAAAATAGGACAATCACTATGAATCTGATCTGTGTAGTGAGACCCTGTAGACCTGGTACTAAAATACATTAAGAAAAACAAGAAAGAAACATTGGAGAAAGAAACCTAAGAAATTCTTAAAATCACCAAAATTTAAAAGAAATTGGTCATACATTTTACAAGAAAACACTTAGAAGATTAATAATTAGCATTTAGAAGATTAATAATTAGCATACCTAATCGATACTTTTATAACCAAGTTACCGTTTTATTATATACTATGATAAAATATATACTTTATGGACTGTATAAATACTGTAAAATTATTTAAATCTTATTTGCTCTTTCTTAAATTACAAAAGGGATACAAAATTTTGCCTGTTTCCTTTTCTACATAGTACCACCCCATATGGATAATGTGATGGGAACAGAGGAACTCACAGTTATCAAAGGCAGCTCCACCTCTATGAGCTGCACTACAGATGGGACCCCCCCGCCCAGCCTGTCCTGGCTTAGAGATGGCCAACCTCTGGGGCTGGACGCTCATCTGACGGTCAGCACTCAGGGCTCGGTCCTGCAGTTCCTCAAGGCAGAGACTGAAGATTCGGGAAGGTACACCTGCGTTGCCACCAATGCTGCTGGGGAAGTCAGCAAGCACTTCCTCCTGAAGGTCCTGGGTATGTGAACATTGTCACAGAGAGAGAATAAGTGATCCATCAGCAACAGGGGAGGCTTTGTAAATAATCTTATATTTTCTATAGAACAGAATTTATACAAATTTGGGGCCGGGGAGATGGCTCAGTGGAATAAGCGCTTCCCTGGCAAGTGCAAGGGCCTGAGTTCAATCCCTGGTTCCATCAAAAAAAAAAAAGAATTTGTACAAATTTATTGTGTTTCTATTTTTCTTTCATACTTTATATTTATTCTCATTTGTAGCATGTTACATTTAGATTGTTGTGTTTATCATACTTCTGAAAAGCTAAATACTCCTATTCATAAAAGATTTTTCACTAAAAGAAAATTTAGAACTAGTTAATAACTAACTTTTTAACTTTTTTCAAAACCTAAAATACATTTGCTAATAGAAAATTTGGTGCCAAAGGATACTATTTATACGATTATGTGTTATCCCACTTTTAAGTGATGCAATCCATAAATTATATGGGAATTGTGATTTGAAATAGTTTAGATCTATTTTCTCTTGTGTGCATTTAAAGTAAATATTTAAAGTTCACATTTTCAATATTTTACATGCAAACAAATAACATAAAGAAAAATCAGATTTTTCCATGAAGTAAAAATTTATAACTTTCAAATAAAAGAATAGCTGAATAAAATGGAGTATTTCAGTAATCAAGATCCTTTTGAGTTGGGCTTTTTCACCACTATGTAGAGGAAATGACAGGGTCCTTACACAGCACAAAAATGTACCCCACTAACAACAGCTTAAGCAGTTTTAGCAAGGTCAGGAGAGGCTAGCATATGTTTTCAAAGCATACTGTAATCATTCTCAGAGTACCTACTAAATTTAATTGTTTGGATGACTTTAGAAGTCTGCTCTACCAGGAAGATAGCTCAGCAGCATAAGAACCTGCCTGGCAAGTACAAGGTCCTGAGGTCCATCTCCAGTACCAAAACAATCTGCTCCATCTCTAGCTAAGCTTCACGATGGCAGAAGCAGTATGCATCTTGCTTAGTGCTGCATTCTCAGTGCTTAGCATGACACCAGACACATCAGCAACTCCTAATAGGTGTCTGCTGGATTGAATTGAACTGAACTAGAAATTTGAAATGCTGGGTTAATAGGAAGTTTAAGCATAGAGAGAGGTAGAGAAATATCTACATATACAAAGACAGCAGGGAATGGCTGGACTTCCAGGAAAATAAAGGACAATTAGTCATGGAAGAAATTCCCTGGGATATTTAGAAGACAAGAAACTGTTGGGTGTGGCAGGAGTAGGGTGGGGGTAGGTAGCAAATCTCTATACATCATTTCACATACATGAATAACAACAAGTGACACACGTGATCTAATGCTTCATTGTTTACATATTAAAGGTTAATTATTGAATATACATCATATGCAGGCATGTTTCTAATCACTGAGAAAAATTATGAATGCCTCGTATGTGGTACATTGTATTTGAATGTATCACAGTATAAGAAAAATAATGTCTTGGGCCTGAAAGTCCTACATTTGGAGGAAAACAGATACTAAAACTCTATTTGCTTTGGAGTATGATAAGAATCATGTTGTTAAGACATGGTTAAGATAACATTCTACAGGATGGTAAGTTTCGGGTTAGATCTCTTCAAGGAATGAATCCCGGTTTTAAAAGGTGGTACTGTAGCGATGAAGAGAGAGTTCAAGAGTTGCCTATGCTAGTCCCCTAGAGAGGGTGGACCTTCATACTCATGCAAACTGAATGTGAACGGAGGAGACAAGACAAGGAAATATGTATGGGCGGAGCCCAAACTATGAAGAGGCTTCAAAAGATTTCATCATGAAAAGGAAAGAATCTTAAGAAAGAACATGTTACACCCAGATTTCATTTCCAAAATATCCGTCTGGTGACAGGGTGAAGAATAAATTGAAGAAACTGTACTGAAAATGCAAGACCTATTCTAGCATGTAATAGTAAAAAGAAAGAAATTATTATTCTAAGACTTCAAGAATTTTGAACCAGAACCCATATGAAAGCATTTCTGAATGAAGAAAATAAACTAATAATGATATGTGAGAGTCATAAACAAAGAACAATCTTCCCAGTTGACAAACTCTTCAGGATAAGACTTTGTTATAACAGACTTATAAACTGGCCCAGCAAAACATTGAGAAGATTTAACATTTCAGTAACCTGTTGAAAATTAATTCCATTAAGCTCTGGAAAGCTCTTCATGTGCTACTATGCAGAGAACAAACATCTTGCATAACTTAAATTCTCAGCTTAATTCTATCCACATGGTGGGAGGTGTCATAGTTTGTTAACAGTTCTGTAAAGGTCCATTGTGGCTGGAACACTGAAAACATGAGAGAATGTCATACAAAATAAAGCTGGGGGGACTTGACAAGATCTAGGCCATGAAGAGCTTTGCTGACCACATTAAATGGTTTAGTTTTAATCCTATAACAATAAGAAAGCATTAAAAGACATGGGCTAATATGAGTAGCACAAATATGAGTAGTTAAAAAGACCAGTTAGTTTGACTCCAAAGTGGAAAGCTCCTCAGAGCAAGGAAAGAATGGGTTCTGAGGTACTAATGTATTATTAGGAATTATGTTTGTCTGTAGATAATAAGAGTCTAAATATGGTGGCATAAGCAAAGAGCTTTTGCTTTTCCTATTGAGTAAGATATCTAGAGGAGGATCCTTCGGCATTTCAGATATTTGCAGTTCTCTTGGCCTTCAGATCATGGTCAGTAGATGATCAGACAATATATGCTCAACCCCAGCAACACTAAACATTTCTCCAGGGACAAGAGTAGAACAGGAAAAATAGGAAAGGCCTATCTCTAAGAGTTACGCTTTGGGCATGGTGGTGCAGACCTGTAACCCCAGTGCTCAGGAGGCTGTGGCAGGAGGATCACTGTGAATTCAGGGCCAGCCTAGGCTACCCAGTGAGCTCAAGATCAGCCTGAACTACATAGCAAGACCCTGTCTCACACAGAGCAAAACAAAACAAAATAAAACAGAATATGAAAAGTTGCCCCTTTACAAATTTTCTTAGCCCACAAATACTCACTTACATGTCATAAGCCATAAACTTTACATACTGTTCCACCTACTGTCTACTAAAAGAGCTAAGACATATAACTTTTAGTAAATCACAAGCCCTCACAAAATTAGGATTTGTTAGTAAGAAAGAAAAATGTAAATAATGGGCAGACACCTTCAACTTAGGAGAAAAATATATTAATTCCAAAAAGCAGTACTACAGTTCAGATTGAAGTGATGCAGAGAGAGAAGAAGAGATATTCTACAAATAATTAAATATTAACACTTCATTATAGATTTGGACATGTGGGACTGATAAAAAAGTCTCAAGGATGCTTCCTAGTTTCTGGTTTATGTGACTAAATGATCAGAAGATCCATTGTATAGATGTATGGAATGGTGGTAAAGGACTGAATTTTGAAGAATAAGACTAGCTCAATGTGGTTTTTAAATGCTTCCACATATTTTTAAGTATCCAAAATGAAATGTTTCTGGACCAGCAAGATAGCTCAGTGTTCTAAAGTGCCTGCTTAGTCAAACTTAGGCAAAGCGCAGGGACCACAGTTCAACTCCCAGCACCACATGCTGTGCCAGCCCCACCAGGGCTGAGCTGGCCACAAAAAAAGAAAGAAAAAGAAATGTTTATTTAATAATTGCATGTACAAACCTGAAGATTAGAAGAAAGGTGTATGGTAGAGGTATAAATTCTGGAACAACCAGCATGTGGCCAGCTGCTCCTGTGCCCCAAGAAGAAGCCATACGGACCACAGTGAAATGGTTCAGCATCACTCAACTCATGTGCTACTAGAAGGAAAGGAGAAACACCTTGTGATACAATCACAGGACTTCTAGGGAGGACTCCTGTAGCTCTAGAAATGGTAGCAAGAATAGACAAATAGAATTTCATTAATTAAAAAATTTCTGCACAATAAAGGAAGCAATTAATGGAATGAAGAGACAGCCCACAAAGTAGGAGAAAATCTTTGTTGACTATTCATCTGAGAGAGGATTAATATCCAGAATTCATCAAGTGCTCCAAAACTAACACTGAAAGAATAAATAACACAGTCAATAAATGGGCAAATGAATCAAACAGACACTTCTCAAAAGAAAATAAAAGAAATAACTAACAATTACATTCTAGAACATTCAAGGTCTTTAGCCAATAGGGAAATGCAGGGCGCTATGCTGAGATTCTATCTCATCCCAGGCAGAATCGTCACCACCAAGTAAATGCAAAAGAACAAATCCTGGTGAGAATGTGAGAGAAAAGAAAATCTTATACACTGTTAGTAGGTTTGCAAGGTAGTACAGCCATTGTGGAAATCAGTACGAAAGTTTCTAAAAAAGCTAAAATAGAATTACCATATGATCCGTCCGATATACCCAGAGGAATCCAAGTCAAATGCTATTGACACAGTGTCACACCCACGTTTGTTGCAACACAGTTCACAGTAACAAAGTTAGAGAACCAGCCCAAGTACCTATCAACGGACGAATAGAAAAGAGTGTGATATATACACAACACATCATTATTCAGCCATAAAGAACAATGAACTTATGTCATTTTTTAGGCATATGGATGAACCTGGAGATCAGGGGATTCAGGGAAATCAGTCAGACTGGAAGAAGCAGCATCACACATTTTCTCCCATGTGTGAAACCTACACAGGAAAAAACTAAAATGATACAAAAGTGGAATGGAGAAATAGCAGGGAAGAGGAAGCAGGTGGGGAGGACAGAGAGAAGGAGGGAAGAGACAGTCGATATGGTTGAAATTTACTGTATGCATGTATAATAATGTCACATTGGAATGGATTATTCTTTTATAATTAATATGTGTTAATAAAATGCAAAAGCAAAAAAGGATTGCATTTGTTCAAAAAGAAAAATAGCCTATCTTAAGTCTATGTGCCACATAAGTATATTAAAAGAAGATAGTGATGTAAAGACATAAAAGCAGGGTGTAGAAGTTTTGGAAGATGTAATGAGGATTTTCTGGTTAATTTGGTAAATAACATTGGAACCTTTTAATCAGAAAATCTTAGATTAATCTTATGTCGCATTTAATAAAATGCCTTTGACAGAGCTTATGTAGGATGAATAAAGGTCTGCAGAGGTCATGTGGGTCAATAATTAAGAATAACTGACTTCCTGCTTATAATATGAAAAAGAGCAAATTTCATGTATTATCTCCTTCTAGAAAGGGAAATGAGGACTAACGGAAAATTTTAGGGAGTAGATTTCAATGCTGATGTCAACATCTATATGGAGATGGTAGTGATGTTTTTAAAAAATTACCATTTTTTGAGACAGCGTCTTGAACTGAGGCTCAACTGGTGCTTCCATCTGAGCCTCTTGAGTAGTTGGGAAAATAGGCTTGTATTTTTAATTGTAAAACTAAAACTGATACATGAAAAATATAGATAATTTAACTCATTGAATCCTAACAATCCTGATAGGTAAGTAATATTGTCCTCATTTAAGAGATTTGTCCAATTGTATTAAACTAATAATTGTTAGTCCTGGGATTCAAACTCAGTTTGACTCTAGAGCTTTAGCTAGGAGTCACTGTTCTATCCCGTGTGATTGGCTGAAAGCAAACATAGTGCCTCCCTCCATCCCCGCCCCCTAACCTTGGAGCTGTCCAATAGCTATTTTGGCTGCCTTGAGAAGGATTAAGCTAACAATTGAATTATGAAAGTTACATTAAATACTTCAATAATCACTTAAAGGAAGTCTTTTTTAAGGGACTAAATTGGAGATAATTAGGCTAAAGAACACAAGTTTCTGTCCAATGTTTAGATTCTTTAACTTTCTTTTAAAAAGGTCACTTTCTTTAAGTATAAGTAACAGAAAACTACTACTGCCCACACATAACAGATGTGTCTTGTACAGAAATCATCAACTTCAAATGTAATTATCTTTCTTTTTGCTTAGTCATTGTTTCCATGCAAAATTCTGCATGAAAAACATGATAAGAGTTTCATAGTTTCCATCATCACTTTTGCAGAGTTAATTCGTGTTTAAAAAGTACAAGTACATGCTTGTATATTTAGGTACCTCTTTTAAAAAGTAACACAAGATAGGATTAGTTTTATGTCTCAGATCTTTCCAGCTAAGTAAAACATCTGTAATTAGCTGCATTCCCGCTGTTGGTCTATAATTACCTTGGAATGAACTGCTTTGGCTTTGTAATCTCTTACAAGTATGATACATTCCTTTTGAAATAGTGCCATTGAGAAAGGGCACTGACACCTAGCACTGATGTTGATTATTAATTTCCATACTCTAATCATTTTATATTATAGAGTGTAAATTGGAGTTGTGTTTCCAAGTTTTTCTGATTGATGTTATTGCATCAAGCAGGCTTATTTTGTAATTGTTTATTTATTGTCTTTAAATAGAACCACCTCACATTAATGGATCTGAAGAAACTGAAGAGATATCAGTCATTGTTAATAATCCACTTGAACTCACCTGCATGGCTTCTGGAATTCCTGCTCCTAAAATTACCTGGATGAAAGATGGTAGGCCCCTTCTGCAGACAGATGATGTGCAAAGTCTTAGAGGAAATGTGGTTCTTCAGATATCTAGTGCACAGGTAAATATCAAAGCCCATGAAGTTAATCTATCTTAAGTTAAACTTCTCACCTACTAACAGAATAATTTTTGAATAAATTATTCATTTGCATATGAGTACATCTCAGATGTCTACAACTTTACCAAGGGTAGATGTCTTTATTATATGCTCAAACAAAGTGTCTTATATTAAACTGAAGGAAACAAGATATCTTCCAATTAACTTTCGGACATTTTCATAGTTTTGTTAATGCTAGTAATTTCTTCAATCTCTTTAACTTTTGCCACATGCTCATTATCAAACCAGTAAAAAGCAATCCAATATGCATATATATGACATTTCAGAGAGTACCTTTGATTTCCAAACAAACTGGCAGACATGAAAGTTTGATGAGATAGTTTCTGAAACTAGTAAAACTGTTTCTTAGTAAAACTGTTTCTTTTAGTTTGTTTGATATGAAATGTGAATATATTATGAAGAAATATACCTAGAATGTCTTATTACAAATATCTTCTGTTCTACTATGTAAGACAAACTTAAAGCTTTACAGAGATTCTTTATCTATGCCTTAAAGCTTTCATTTGTAAACTCAAGATACAAATAATGTTCTCTAATGCAAATGCTGAGAGACTTAATGAGATAATCTCATATCATGTGCCTAGACTACTACAAAGACATGTAGGAAGTGCTAAAAATAGGGAAGAAAGTAAATTGCTGCTGCTGCTATTGTTATTGTAAGCATCATTCTATTGGACATAGGCCAGCATGTTATTATTCATGTTTATTTGTATTTTTGCTAAGACAAAAAAGAAGGAAAGGAAGCTGAAAGAAGATCTGAATATTACACATTGCCTACTGTTTGCCTCTGGGCTCTGTGACAGCTCTTCAAGGCAGTGTCTTGATTCCCATATCCAGAAGTAGGCACTTCAGAGAGATTAAGTTCCTGACTGCCGAGTACTCACCCTGGCTCAGTAATGGCGCTGGGTGTCAATCCTACTTCTGGTTGGAAATCCTTGCTAATGCATCTCAGCACATTTTATAAGTGCATACTTTCCTTTCCCTTTTCTCTCCAGCTCAAACACTGCAGTAACTCAAAGCATTGTCATGTTACTAGATCAAAAGACTTGTGTATGAAATAATAAGGGAATCATTTAAGATAGTATTGAAGTAGAACATTAAATATGATCAAGCTCCATGACCAGTCTCAGTCCCTCTGAGCCTCTGTTTTCCCAGCATTTTGTGCATTGCTGTTATATTACTTACTGTATTGTATTTTACTTATCTGAACATTGTCTTTCAAAATACTTGTCTGCAACATACAATAATTCCTAACATGCAATGGATGGTTTGCAAATCCAAATTGTATGGTAGACATAAGAATTTCCTAAAATATCTTCCATTAAATACTAGGTCTGAGATTTACTCTAAGAAAGGGACCATCTCATCACCCAGGTAGATGTAGAAAATTTTATACACTGTACTCTCCCCTCCTTATGAATGCCAGCCCTGCTGCAGAACTTTATTTTAAACACATCTGCCTTACTATTTTCTTAAAAATTCACTCTTATGACCATATGTATTAGAAATCGTAACTACAAATAATAACTGTGATACCCAGAAGGGAATAAGTTAACAGAAAATATTTCCTACAGGAAGAAAAATGTTTCTTTCCAATGAAGAAACAGTGTAATTGAGAATGAACAGAGTTGATAGAGAAGAGTTGGTTTCAGAGGCATTAAAGATATGATGAAAAATTCAAAAATTATTCTTTTGGAAAGTGACCATGATATTTTATTTCTTAATGAAAAGCCTATCTGAGAATTGTCTATTAAAAGACATTTAATTGTCTTTCCAAATATTCTAGTCCTAAATTTTTTTGAAGGAAGTTTTGCAGTTTATCAGAAAATTTTTACATAAACTGTAAAGCAGTCGTGAATATAAGAATTTGTTTAGGTCTCAATATTTTATGAATGTTCAAGTATCAAAATAAAGGCAGTACTTTCTTACTTTTAAAAAATGCATACTTTAGGTTCAGCCAGATAGTTTAGCAGATTAAAGTGCCTGCTTAGGCAGACACAGGGACGAGTCTTCAATCCCGTGTGCTGTGCTGCCCCCACCCCAGGGCGTTCTGAGAGGACAATTGAGACTGGGTGTGGCAGAGCGTACCTGTAATCTCAGCTCCTGGGAGGCTGAAAACAGGAGAATCACTAAGAGTTTGATCTGTGTAGTGAGGTCCTGTAGACCCTGTACTAAATACAAAAAAAAAAAAAGAAAGAAAGAAACAAAAACATTTTTTTACAGTACTAGGAAACCTGTTTTCTAGCATATTGTCTTCATTGCTGGCATCTATGCAATGTCCAAGATATGAATGGAGAAAAACCTGCAGAAACCATGGAGAAGCATTTTTTTAAATAAATTATTTTAGTTTTAGACACATATGAGTAGATTCTGCTGTCAATCTGACTGTATTTATAATGAAATAACTTCATACACTCCTGCCATGTTGTTTTATTGTATATATCATTTCATTCATCTGTTCATTTGTTTGACTGGAAAAAACAATACTTACTTACCTGTTAATTTAATCACCATATTTAATTTTCTTCAGTAGGACTACAACTGAAATTTTCAATCTGTATTTTATTTATTTATTTTATTAATTTTATTGAGAAACAGATAGCAATGAGATAGTTTCAAAATGGATTAGTAGGACAGTTTCAATAATTAATACATTGCATATTGTTGTCTTCATAGTGGTTATTCATAATACAAGATGCAGACATGATGTCTTGTCCAAACACAATTAGTACAAATCTTTCTTCTCTAAAAAATTAAGAGAAGGTAACAGTATATCTATCCTAACTATTTTTTATATACAGATACACAATGGTCCTTCATTTATATCCCCTTTTTTTGTTTAGTTTTGTCAGAGGAGGGTATTCCATCGCCATTTAAATATTGTAAAAGGCAAAAGATTCATACAATCTGAAGAGAAACCAGAGTATGCCATTTAAATATTGTAGGTGCGTGAATTCAGCAAAGTAATCCCATCAATCTGTATTTTAAACCTGTGAATATTTATTTCTTTAATAAACACTAAGCAGTGAGTCTATGACCTATGTACTATGATATGTGCATATTCAGTTTCCTACTATCATTCTTAGATCAAACCCTGAAACCATCCTAAAACATAGGTTTGAATACGGTCAAAGCAGTGGTATCAGAATACTAGTCACGAATGTGGAGCAGTTTGTTTTGGGGGCTGTGCTTCTTTAACTGCATTTTGTTTTATGTTGATATTCCTGCATTAATCCTAGTTAATATTTATCCTCACCAACAAAGCTGGCACATTAAAAATGTCACATTTACTCATTTGGGTTTTGTAGGTAGAAGACACAGGAAGATACACGTGTCTGGCATCCAGTCCTGCTGGAGATGACGACAAGGAATATTTAGTGAGAGTTCATGGTAAATTTGTGAAAAAGTTGTATGTTCTATCATACGTATACCTAGGTAGAAGCCATAATTTATGGAACCTGTGACCACCTCATAGCACATTAAAAAAAAATCTTTGTAAATTCAGAATGTATATTTTGAAAAACTGATTCCATATTTGTTTGAGTGTGTACTCTTTGGGAATAAGTTCAGTTTTTTTTAAGTTATTTATTGTTTCTGCAGAAATAATTTATTCATTCATTTAAAAATAAAATATAAATGATAATGAAGAAAATTAAAATAATACATAATCTTATCACACAAAAATATGAAGTTTTTTACAAAAATGTGGCCATGACACCAGTGATATAGCTCAGTGGCCTAGTGCCTGCCTGGCAAGTCTAAGGTCATGAATTTGATTTCCAGGTTAAAAAAAAATGTGGCCATCGCAGGCTGCCATGGCTCATATCTGTAGTCTCAGACGCTTCAAAGAGGCTGAGCTAGGAAGCTTGCTTGAGCCCAGAAGTTTGGGGCCAGCCTGGGCAGCACAGAAAATACTTGTCTGTGATTGTTCTGTTTTGTTTTTAAAGTGATCACACAGAATATTACATAAATGTCTCTTTTTTTCTTACTAAATGATATGCTGCTCATGCTTTTATCAGTTTAGGTGATTGCATTGTGTCCTAATTTACTCCCTGTTTTTGATATTTAAACAATTAATAGATTTTTTACCAACTGAAAGCGTAGCCTATTTCCTTTATTTTGACAAGTTCTATAATTACACTCTTTGTTACACCCACAAGTGCTTTTAAGAATTTTGAAACTTAGTGCTGAATTATTTTCTAGAAATTCATGTCAGAAAGGTTTTGTCCCAGTATTACTTTAAAACATAAATTGAAACTATTCTTCATGGGGAAGTGTATTTGAAAAACTAAACAGAAGATCTTTATTTCATTTTATAGCCTATGTCCACATTGCACGCTGTCTGGGATCTAAGTCCCTTCTCCCATCTGCACACACAAATTAGATCTGCCATAATTAATAAGTCAACTCTGTATATAAAAATAACATGTATAAAAGTAACGACTGTATTTCTATATATCAAGGAAAGTAGACACGTGTCCTTATATATTTTTTTCACATGTCCTTATATTGTGGTAGATGTCCCTGATACAGCAATTTTAAGGCTACTGTTCAGAGGAAACTACTACCAAGTGCAAAACTTGACCCAGTGACTCCGTAGTATGTGTTCGTGTCTTTCCTCCAAATGGTGATAATGTGATTGTATGATTCATACTCTTATTCGTGTAATTTTTGAAAGGATTTTATTACTCAATCTATGTGATATTGCTAAATTTTTTTAAGTTTCTACTGTATTAACCATTACAGTGGTGCACAGCTTTAATCCTGGCACCTTGGAAAGCTGAGACAGGAGGAGCCCAGCCTGGGCAGCTCAACTACTTAGCCAGATCCTGTCTCAAAATAAAAAATAAAGGGCTAGTAATGTAGCTCAGATTCTATGCTCAATAGCCCTCAACATGCACACATACACACACACACACACACACACACACACACACACACACTTTAATTATAAATTAAATGAGTCATGTTTTAAGTTTGTGCTTATTTCGTGGACCAAAATTGAGGATTAACATTTGTTGACTACCCATAGGTTACATCATTTTACATCCTTTTTATCGAAAATTTTTGATATCTTGTTTTCATGACTAGTGCCCCCTAATATTGCTGGAACTGATGAGCCCCAGGATATCACTGTGCTACAGAACAGACAAGTGACACTGGAATGTAAATCAGATGCAGTGCCCCCACCTGTGATTGTGTGGCTCAGAAATGGAGATCGATTGCAGGTAAATCTTTGGCTAATCTCTGCAGATTTATTTTTGAAGCAAAAACCAGTTATTCAACATTGCCAGAGCAGCTACCAGATCTTTTTAATCAGAGGTCTTCTTTCCTCAGATTTTGCTTAATAGTTGAATATGGGTCAAAAACAGATATTTAGCTTCATGACACTGGCAATGTGTCTTCTGGAGCCCATGGATTGAAATCCAATTAGAAATCCTCAGCCAGTTCTTTACCTGAGTGTGAAGACAAACTACCAGCATCTCAGAAGAGCTGAGCTGTCCTTCTAGGGCTCTAAAGCCAATCTGTTATTGAATTTGCCTGGTTGAAATCTGGGCCAAAGATATGTAACGCCATTAGACACCTTATGCCTGGTACTGGAATCCCTGAAGAGCACAGTTGTTGACTGTCTAAAGCTTTCCATGATTCAATGATGCCTCTTCGCTGTCAGGATGCCACAATCAAATAATCATCCTTGATGATACTTGGAGTCATTTAATGATTACTAACATTATACTTCATTGTTTGTATTAACAATGAAGTATTAACAATGTTTCTCTCCATTTAGATTTAATAGTTGAGATTAGATTTTATTTTTGCCATGTTTTTATAATTCATAATCTCAAACCTGAAAACTAAAATAAATTATTATTAGTAGCATTAGTATTAGTATTTTAGGGAAGGGTCTACAGGGTGATCAGGGTGTCACTACTAGATTGGATTTACAGTGACTCTCCTGTTTACAGCCTCTCAATAGCTGGGATTACAGGCATGCGCCACCATGCCCAGTCTCAATTGCTGGCATTGCAGGACCGGGGATTGAACACCCAGCTCCTGTGCCTGCTTGCAGGTGCTTTAATCCACTGAGCTATTTGGCTGGCCCTAAGAAAAGCTGTGCAAATATTTGTAGACTAAAATAGTTTATTTTCTGGTTTTCAGACTGTTATAGGACAGTGTTTTCCTCTGAGTTAACCGAAGTTAACTTCTTAGAATGAAGTTACCAGTTATAACTGACCAAACTCAAACTCAAATCAACTGAAATGAAAAAGAAAGAAGGAAATTTATAGCCTGGAGTAAGTGGTGAATCTAAGCTTTAGGCCTTACTAGATGTAGAGTTTTGATTACATCATGAAGCAGATATGAGCTTCCCTCCAAGCTCAGCCCTGCTGGTTGCCCTTCAGCCCACAGTGCCACACTTCAGACTGCCCCCAGGTCAATGGCGTTCTTACTTCTGATTACCATAAAAAGCACACGCAAATTCATGAAGCATTCCATATTTTTAAAATACTAACCTGCAAAAAAAAAAAAAAAAAAAACAAGCACACACCTGTTTTCCCAATACCTCCAGCAAAAGTCTGAGCAAGCACCTATTATCACCCATTGATGGTAGGGGGTCACTGCCTCACCGCATAATTTCATGGATTTTTGGTACTGCAAATGATGGGGGAAAGCAAATTGAGCAAACTGTCAGACAGCAACTCTGCACTCTCGAGTCACGTATAATGCTGGAATATAACATCATATTCTCTTTTCCTGACCTTTTATTGATAAATTTCACTTCCTGAATCCAGGCAACGCCTCGAGTGAGAATCCTGTCTGGAGGAAGGTATTTACAAATTAACAATGCAGATCTAGGCGACTCGGCAAATTATACCTGTGTTGCCAGCAACATTGCAGGAAAAATGACAAGAGAATTTGTTCTCACTGTAAATGGTAAGAATAATCATTCATTGTTTTACAACCTAAACATTTAACTTCTGGCGTTCAAAGACGTGAGTCCCTTTTTCTTTCATAATCCTATAAAATGAGTCCTGTGGATATGCTATTTGAAAAAAATATATATGTATGTAGTACTTGTACTAAAACTATTTTGCAAGCTAATTCAGTTTCAAAAGCACATAATTATAGATACGTTATTCTCTTGAAGCAAAATATACATGTCCATTAGTTATTTAGCAGAGCCAGATGTTTTTCATCACTCAGATCAGAGCCAATGAGGAAATTAATTGCACTGAATCACCGGGTGACAATTTGCCCATCATTTATTTTATCTTCCTTGTGGTCACTTGAGAATATACTGTACATTTGCATAGTACTGTAATTTTCTTAAATACTACTATAATAATGTAATTTCCCCAAATATGATATCTAAAAGCCAAAATTCAGGAAGATGATTTAGACTTTTCTCCCTAACAGTCCCTCTGGATTTATAATATATGAAATTTTACAGGATATTGGGTGACCTCTACAACTAATGCCTCTAATGCTAAAATTAAAATTCAGGCTTTCTATTCCCACATGAGCTTAGTAATTGATAAAATACATGTTCTGTGACTTGCATGATTAAACACAGATGTGCTTCTCATTGAAACAGCCCATTCTCTGTTCTTTATTTAAAGTGAAGCTGTTCCACTGTTAACATCCTCTGTCCATTATTTGGCCAAAGAGAAATAAGAGATAACATTTTTATTTTGCATCAGGCCAGAGCTGATTTTTATTCAAGCCTCGTTCACAGACGGCCAGCTTTCGTACACTACATCAGGATTTTTAAATTCCGCCTTCCTGTCTACTCTTAAGTTTTAAACATAGAATATCCTCAGTAAAATTTCAGAGATGAAACCTCAATTATATTCATAGTAACAGAGATCAGTGTAAACAAAGTTATACGTTTGACTCAACCCTGATCTTGTGTTACATCTTCAGGCTGTTATGGCTGATTTTTTAATTTTTTTTGTATGTACATCTCTCATTCAGTTCCTCCAAACATAAAGGGCGGACCTCAGAGCCTTGTCATTCTCTTAAATAATTCTGTCATCCTGGAATGCCTTGCTGATGGTGCACCAACCCCAAGGATAACATGGAGAAAGGATGGAGTTGTTCTATCTGGAAATCATGCAAGGTAATAATTCAGGACAAAGAGAAATAATACTATTAGAATAGAAGTATAAGTCTTTATCTTTTTTTTCCAGTGCAACATTTTAGTCTTGTTATATTCATAATTAGTATTGTCATCATGATATGAGAATCAAAATTTATATTTTAAAGGCTTACGTCTGTTTAATGATTACAATGCCTTCATGATCACAAACTCTAGCTGGGTATGGTTTCTCAGGCCTGTAATCCCAGAACTCAGAAAGACTAAGGTAGAGAAATCACAAATTCAAGCCTAGCCTGGGCAAATCATCTAGATTTTGTTTCAGAACTTTTTTTTAACATTAAAGGACTAGAGATGTAGCTCAGGGTAAAGACCCTGGGTTCGATTTCCAGTACTTTTTCAATGCCTCTCCCAAATGACAATCCCCTCTTCTATGCATTTATATTTTATCCTTTTCTTTCTTTTATCCTTTTCTTTCTTTCTTTTCAATGTTGAATATTGTAAATATGTATCTTCTAAAATTGAATCAGATAACTTCTCTTGTGATCGCTCTTGTAGACATTCCATCTTAGAAAATGGATTCCTTCATATTCGATCAGTACAAGTGACTGACACTGGGCGGTATTTGTGCATGGCTACCAATGCTGCTGGGACGGATCGTAGGCGAATAGATTTGCAGGTCCATGGTAAATATACCCTTCTAAGCAACATTCAGATTTGGTCAACTGCTCTTTGATACTTTAAACTTGTGAGCTCATGAAGACTTTATTATGGAAGGCTATTTAAGCATATTAGATTGTATTATGAACAATTAGTAACCATAATTTCTCATCACTGTGGTTAATATTAAGTACAATTTAAGCTCACAGAGCCTTGTTTTCTTCATAACTGTAAGACAAGTTATCAAAGACTAATTTCAGTTCTGTCATAATACTTCAAAGAGCCTACTGTGTGCTGGATGTGTTTCTCTGTTATTTGGTGATCTTTTTTTAGTTCCTCCATCTATTGTCCCGGGTCCTACCAACATAACTGTAACAGTAAATGTCCAGACCACTCTGGCTTGTGAGGCTTCTGGAGTGCCTAAACCATCGATCAGTTGGAGGAAAAATGGGCATCTTCTTAATGTGGACCAAAATCAAAATACGTACAGGTAAGGAGAGTTTATTTTTAAATACATTCTAATTTTTATTGACACGTAGTGATTGTACATATTTCTGAGGTGCTGTATCACATTTCAGTACCTATATACAATATGTAGTGATCAGATCAGGGGAAACTAACAATTTGTTACCTATGGTATATATCATTTCTTTGCACTGGAAACATTTAATATCCACTCTCATAACTATTTTGATATAATTAATTGTTGTCAACCTCTTCTTCCCAGCCAACTGTGTTTCCATGTTCATTAACTGTCCTCTCTGCCTTTCCTGCCCTCATGCTTTTTCCAGATTCTGGCAATCACTAGTCTGTTCTATAATTCTAGGAACTAAACTTTTAAGCTTTCACATGGAAGTAAGAACATGCAGACAGTGGCCTTCCATGTCTAACTTATTTCACTTACCATAATGCAGGAAAAAATAATGTAATTGAAAAATTCCACCAACCATTTAGAAACACTCTTTTCAAAGGACTAACATTTAAACTCTACCAGCAGGGGCAGAAAATAATGTACAAAGAACTACCTTATATGTAGAGAACATGTTTTGCTTATTATGGAATTATTTTTTTTCAACTTGAAGCATTTTTGTGAATTACAAGGGCAATTTTTCTATAGATAAGCCTGGTAGACAACTGTCAGTGAGGTCTGCAGGATGAAAGTTGTATGTGCTTTATTCATTGAACACCTTATAGAGTTTATTAAATACAAACTATAAAAACTGCTCTTATGGGTGTGCTTTGACAAAAATCAATTCTGATATAGAAGGAAATATGAAGCCAGGAAGGCTTCCACTGACGTTCTATCCTTTTTCTCCTTGCCCTTTGAAATCGGGTCGTTTTGTTTTGTTTTGTTTTGTTTTTTATTAAATCCCATAAATACTTGAAGTGATCCAGATGGTTTTAGGTTTTGGTTTTTTGTCTTTTTTTTTTTTTTTATGAAAGGCCTACAGAGTGTTCAGGGTCTCACTAGTAGGTCGGACTCGTAGTGATCTGCCTTTTTACAGCCTCCCAAGAGCTGGGATTACAGACTTGTGCCACCATGCCCAGTCTCAATTGCTGTCTCAGTGCACTCTAGGGGCAGGGACCACACGGAAGACCGGGGGATTGAACTCCTGGCCCCTGCACCTGCTTGCAGGTGCTTTAATCTGCTGAGTTCGTTGGCTTGCCCCCAGATGGTTTTAGTTTTGAATTAGAGATTTAAAATTACCACTATTGATAAATAGACCAACATCCATCTATGTATATATGTATACACACATGTGTATACTATGTGGGTGTACACACTGCATATATTCAGTATATACTATGCTTCTCCAAGGCAGGCATCATATATGAGGAGACATGAAGTAGAGAAAGGAAGACAGACTATGATCACCTATTGTTAAAAATAAAAAGCCGGCCTGCAAAATTATTGCAAATTTTAGGGATAATTTATCTGAAACATTCCAGAAAGAGCCAGGAATTCAGAAAGTGGGGGCTATCATCAGTGTGCTCATTAATTACACTGTATTTGTCCTACGAGACCAAACTTGATCATAATATAAGTATTCAGAAAATGCAAGATTCCTTCTTTAAGCAATCTTTCTAGCTAACTGCTTCTCATAAACATCAAATTTGAAACCCTAGAATTGCAACTCTTACCACATAAAGTTTGCATCTGTTGAATGATACTCATTTTAACATGAAGGCTTTCATTTCTCTCACTTAACAATGTGGTACCATGGTGAACTGACTGGATAAATGTCTAAAAAGTGACCCACAGACTTCCCTGATTTTCGGTCTCTCTTCTAGACTCCTTTCTTCAGGTTCACTAGTCATCATTTCCCCTGCTGTAGATGATACTGCAGCCTATGAGTGCACTGTGACAAATGATGCTGGAGAAGATAAGAGAACCGTGGATCTCGCTGTCCAAGGTACAATGAGCTCAGCAAGTGAATAGAGTCACTGGACTGTCATCGCTTCATCAGCCCATTACTTTACAAGGGGAATTCTTTTTCTATTAGTCTAGCATTCACTTTCAGAGCATGATCAAGAAGATGTATGAAAAGACTTTGGACAGGTGTAAGGGTTGGCAATGCGTAGTTTTATTCTTTTTTGTTGTTATTGCTGTTTTAGTTCCACCCACCATAGCTGATGAACCTACAGACTTGTTAGTAACCAAACAGGCCCCAGCAGTAATTACTTGCATGGCTTCAGGAGTTCCATTTCCCTCAATCCACTGGACCAAAAACGGCATAAGACTACTTCCTAGAGGAGATGGCTATCGAATTCTGTCTTCTGGTAAGAACATCTACTAATTGGATTGGTTATTAATGGCTAGCCTCATGTGGAGTTTTTGTTGTACAAAAATAAAATGAAATATGCATTCTTGTACTCCTAAATGCAAACATCTGGGAAAAAATCTATCTAGAGTAGGAAGATGAACTGGAGGTAGAGAGATGGTAGAGGATGAAAAGAAAGAGAGAATAAGAATTAAGAGGTCTTATGCACATGGACCAGTGCTCTGTGAGAAATGTAAATAGTAGTGTGTACTGCAAACATTAAAATAATTAATTAAAAAGAAGTCAAATAAAATAACAAGAAATGCCTATAATTGGTTCAAATGCAATAATTATAATTATTAGTTTATCTGTGCATATTAGTAAACCTAAGGTTTATTAAATTCTCTCCTTATTTGTGAGTGGATCACATTTTACTATTGGCCAAATTAAATGTTTATTTAAAAAATATTCATTACTGGAGATAGCATACATGGTCTACCAAATTTCTAAGATAATAAAACTAGGATAATGCTCTTGTTTTCAAAATTTTTATTGTTCGTAGAACTAAGTGCAGAATTTTTTGCAGTGGTAATAGCCATCATTTATAAGATTTAATATAATTTGCTAAAATGAAAATGTGATGCATAATTGTTTCTGAAAAGTTACTCTGCATTATGAAGGTACACTGGAGATAAATTAAAGTAGAAACCAACATCCTGAGACTTCATAGACACATGCATACTATTTTAAGAGAATTAGAAGGAAAATAATGGAAGATTTGTTGTCATAATGCAACTTTACTTTTAAGGTAAAATATTGTGACCATCTCAGAAACTTGTATAGATTGTCAGTGGTTAAAATCATAAGATGTAAACCAACTACTCTCCAGCATAATTGTAAAATACTGTGCTAAGAGAACAGAGTAGAACTTTTTCAAAATGTTAACCAGAATTATTATATCCACAGCCACTCCATTCCTCATATCTGTTCAGGAAATTTGAAAACATGCCCACATATAGACTTGTATGTGGCTGTTCGTACAGCATCATTCACAATAGCCCAAGTGTAGAACATTTCAGTGAACGGTACATTTAGATGGATCACTTCAGTATGTAAACTATGTCTCTATAAAGCTGTAAGCTTTTTAAAACTGTGCTAGGCACTCCATGGTACAAGTACGGATGTAAGACGGGACCCAATATTCTTGGTACAGAAAACACAAAATGAGAGGGCCATAATTTCCTGAACTAAAAAAGGATGCACTGTACATTAAATTTTTTTCTATTTAGGAACAATTGAATTATCTGCCACCCAATTAAACCATGCAGGACGGTATACTTGTGTTGCTAGGAATGCAGCTGGTTCTGCACACAGACATGTAACCCTTTATGTCCAAGGTATGGATGGTTATTTACTCATCGAAAACTCACTGGGTGGGCTGGGGGAATAGCTCAGTGGCAAATCACTTACCTGGCATATACAAAGCCCTATGTTTGCTTCCCAGCACCACAAGGGGGAAAAACCTTGCTGGATTTGGAGTTCATGTTTGTTTGGGTTTTAAAAAGTCATGTTTGTTCTTGAAAGATGGTACTGTAAATAGCTATGAATCAAAACTATAGTAATATTTTGGGATATGGAGGTCTAGATATTTTTTAAGAAACTTAAAAAAGACAGAGATGGTAAAGCACACAAAACAACCACAGAATTGTATTTCCTCCTGGATTTTTATAATCCGTTCCTACTTCTGGTCTTCCAATGTCATCCTTCTAATGCAAGCATTGTCTGCAAGACAAAAAATGTAATGTGACCAGTGTTAACTCTTTCTTGGATAATCAAATCAATAACACTGCAAATACGGATCTGCAGTAGGCATTTCCACCATTGATAAGTGCTTGCTCTTTTGATTGACTGGTTTTTACAGAACCTCCAGTTATTCAGCCCCAGCCAGGAGAACTAGATGTCATTGTGAACAATCCCATTTTATTACCGTGTGAAGCAGCAGGGACACCAAGTCCTTTCATTTCTTGGCAAAAAGAAGGCATCAATGTCATCACTTCAGGTACCTGCAACTTTCTGTCATGAAAATCATGGCATCTTCAGTGCTTTACAATTCAGAAGGGAGAATGTTTCTGTAAACAAAACGTGCAAAGAATTGTATTCTTCTTTTTCGATTATGATACAGGCAAAAGCCACGCAGTGCTTCCCAGCGGCAGCTTGCAGATCTCCAGAGCTGTCCGTGAGGACGCTGGCATTTACATGTGTGTGGCTCAGAGCTCAGCGGGCACCGCTCTGGGCAAGATCAAGCTGAATGTCCAAGGTACCTAAACAGTTCATCTCTGTATCTGCGGTTTGTACCAGTGTATACCAAGTATTCATATGTCTAAAATGATTGTGCTTCCTTTTACTTTCAGTTTTCAATATTATTAGTTTGTTTTATCCTATTTTTCTAGTATTTTACAAAAAATAAAGTCAACCAGTTTTGGTTTTCTTATATCATTTGCATAAGGAAACTGAAGAATCCATCATACTTTTTTCTGTATTTAGTACAGAGTCAACACGGTCTCACTACAGAGATTGGACTCATAGTGGTCCTCCTGTTTTCAGCCTCCGAGTGCTGGGATTACAGGTGCACGTCACCATGCCCAGCCTTAGTTGTCCTCTCAGTGAGCCCTGGGGGTGGGACCAGCATCGCACACTGGGGATCGAACCCCGGTCCCTGTGCCTGTCTAAGCAGGTGCTTTAGTCTCCTGAGCTCTCTGACTGGCCCTTCCTTCATACTTTTAACTTCTGTGAAACTCTGCCTGCTACCATAATCACTTCCTGAACTGTGGCTTTGTTTGAACAGTTTTAGTTACCCAGCTTCTAATACAGTCCATAAATTTTATATGTGAAACTTTCACACAACTCATAAGTTTTACATTGTACACTGTTCTGAGCATAGAAAATCTCACCAGCAATGCAAATCATCCCTTGGTGCAGCGTATCCACGCCATAAACATGGCTTGCCTGTTAGTCGCTTAGTAGACATCTTGGCTGTTAGATCCACTGTCCAGTATTATGCTGCTTATATTCATGTTACTTTATTTTACTTAAGGATGCCCCCAAGTACAAAAGTGGTGATACTGCAGTTCAGTTGTGCCAGCGTGAAGCATTTGGGCATTTCTCTTGCAGAGAAGTCAAAAGTCAAAATGACACTGTAAAAAATAGAGACTACATTCACTGAATTTTCTTACACTATGTATCATTTTAATTCGTCTATTTTATTATTATTGTTAATCTATTGCTGTACCTGGCTTATAGAGAACATTTTGTCACAGGGAAAACATGACATATAGGATTCAGTACTAGCCTGAGCTTCAGAGTCTGAGGTGGACTTGCAATGTATCTGCCATGCATAAAGGGATAACTGTACTCTGTTTTGTTGTAACACAAATTTAGGTGGTTTTAAAAACTCTTCTCCCTATCATGCTACTTTAGATACACTGATTATAATGCCAATATTTTAAAAATCTAATCAATTTGGTGGCAAAGTGTGTTTAAGACAAAGTAAGGGGTTTTTGTATTTTCACATTGACATTTTATTGATATAATTACCGTATCTTGTATTCACTACCTTTGCAAATAGTGACTAGAAAATAGTTTCCAAGGTACTGAGTTTGAACTAGTTAGTTCTGAATTTTATTATAGTGCAATTTTTCCTATGTCGAATTAATGAATATGATTCATCAATGAATTAATATGAATATTGATGAATTAATGAACGTGACTCAGACTAAATCCAATTTATTTCTATTCTTTAATATTTTCATCATCAATAACTGGAAAGACACTGAGCATTACAGGTATGTTGTTCCTCTTGCAATATTTTTACTTTAGTGGAGAAGGGCAAAATAAACCAAATAAATGAAATTATGATAAATTCTGACATAGGCAATACAGAAGGAAATCAGCAAACAGAAACAGCGAATAATGGAGATATGTAGGGCTATCTTAGATCATTGGTTAGGGCAGGCTTCTCTGAGCCATTAGTGAGGATAAGACCTAGGTTGGCATCGTGTCCGTGGGAGGGATGATGGCATGTGTGATGTCTTCCAAGCAGGAGACTGAGAACAGAGAGCCTGGTCAAGTACCAGGCCATGGTGAGTTATACAAAGGCAGGAAAAACATGAGAGATAGATGAGCTAGCAGGCAGGGCTGGTACCTGCAAGACTGTAGTACCACTAAGAATTTCAATTCGGTTCTCCGTTCCACTGGAGTCCTTTATAAGGGTCTAGCCAAGATTCTGGTTTGATTTCAGGAAGACTTGTTTTGCTGCTCTATAGGTGATCATTTAGAGGGATAAAACTATAATTAGAAGAATGTTTAGGCAGGATGTCATGGCCCTGGAGAAGAAACAGGTATGAATTGCAGGAGTGTTGAACAGAGGATTCATTGAAGATATAATGGAGGTGTAATGGCCAGCGTTGCTTATGAATTGGGTTAGAAAAAGAGAAGACTTAATGATGCTTCCTGAACCTTGGGTCTGGAGTGAATAATGGATGACAGTGTCATGGGATATGCAAGAACTGATTTTTGAGGGAGAAAATCATGGTTTATGTTTTATCAAGTGAAATATGGGAAACTATTGGAAATCCTAATAGCGATGTCAAGTAGAGCTGGTCTCGAACTCACAATGATCCTCCTGTGTCAGCCTCCCCAGTGTTGGGATTACAGGATGGACCATCATGCCCAACTTGCATATGAGATATGTCACTAAGTCCAGTAGGAAGTGCATCTGTAGGAGCATCTTGGATCAACAGAATATTTTCCAGAGCACCAGGGATCACATGGCTCATCTATGTGAATTAATACAGCTTAAATATTCTAGACAGGCAAATCTTCATAAATATATATTTATCTCATCATTTAAAATTGGTTGCTAATTACATTTACTCGTTCATTCATGTAGATTCACTTTCTAAAATAAGATCAATGAATTGTCATATTTGAAACAAACTATAGTAATACTTTGTCAGTGATACAGTAAACTCAGGATTTTGTTTCTTACTGATGTTACTTCATTTTGCTGGGGCAGTGCTGTAGTGTGTAACTCGTACACTTGTGCTTTCAAAGTGAGGTTTAAACTTTCCGTCTTTCAGTTCCTCCAGCCATCAGCACTCATCCAAAGGAATACATCATTGCTGTGGATAAGCCCATCATGCTGCCCTGTGAGGCAGATGGTCTTCCACCGCCGGACATTACGTGGCATAAAGATGGGCGTGTGTTACTGGAATCCATCCGGCAGCGCATCCTCAGCTCTGGGGCTCTGCAGATCGCATTTGCTCAGCCTGACGACACTGGCCAGTACACATGCACAGCAGCAAATGTGGCAGGATCCAGCAGCATAAGTGCCAAGCTCGTTGTCCATGGTAAGGTCCTTAATACGAATTCTTTTAGTTCCCTGCATTGTGGCAAAGAGAAAAGACTTCCCTGAGCAAACATGAAGGAAATCAAAATCACATAAAATCAATAATCTAGGGTTGGAAGTATAGATTGGTGATAGAGTATACACCTAGCATGAGCAGGGCCTACCTTCAATTCCTCATTGTAGAACACACACACACACATACACACATACACTATAATCCACAGTGTGTGGGGGGGTATATGTGCATTTGCTCTTCAGAACTGTCTTAGCTTGCATTTATTTCTATGTGCATATATGAATGGATATATGCATATATGTGTATACATGTATGTATGAATGTATAAGAAAATTATATTAGGACTGTCAGTTGTCATTAACTCCCTAACATTGTGATTGTTATGGTCTATCCTCAGCTTATAAGAATTTCATTTGTGTTTTTGTGACTCTTCTGCCTTATCTCTTGAACCTTTAAGTCATTTTGGCTTATAACAAATCACTATGTGTCCTACATTATAAATAAAGTTGGAGGGCTGGCCAGATAACTCAGCGAACTAAAGTGCCTCTTAGGGAGAGTGAATGCTGTGCTGGCCCCGTCCCTGGGGCGCGCTGAGATGCGATTGAGACTAGGCGTGGTCACGCACGCCTGTAATTCCAGTACTTGGGAGGCTGAGAACAGGAGGATCACTATGAGTCCTACCTGTGTAGTGAGACCCTGTAGACCCTGTACTAAATACATTTTAAAAAATTGCAGTTGGAACCTAATAGGAAATGAAGATCTGGTTGATTCACTACTTTAAAGTAGCAAACAATTTATCTGTGTTTTTGCATAACAGAAAAATGTTCTTCTTTTGTATTAAAACAACTACCAAAATATTTCATAATCAACATTGAAATATTTTATTGACTATTTTAAACCTAAACATAGAAAGCCTGCTAGTATCAGTGGCGTAAGACAGTGACAACTGTTTCCACTCTGTTTGCTGGGTTCCTCTTAGCTCAGTGAGTAGTTTTTGATTTTCATATTTTTCAAACATTTATGAAAGTTATTTATTCTTCAAGTGCATTTGAATTTACTACTCTTTCATAGGTAGAGTAATAATTTAAAGTGAAATCATTTTTAATTGAATAGATAAATAATTTAGTCAAAATTTAAAGGCTGCCCTTAAGAGTTTTCCAAATAATTTTCTTTCTTGCAATTACTATAGCTGAGCTAA